ACTTAATTCTTCCTTCAGACTTCACTGAGAGTTTAGCAGGCATAGAATTCTAAATTGCAAATCGTTTTCCTTTACAGAGTGCACCCTGGCTTTCTAGCTTCCATGTTGCTATGGAGAAGTATTAAGCCATTCTGACTCCTGACCCTTTGATGAGTGACCTATTTTTTTTTCTTCTCTGGAAACTTACAGGATCTTCTCTTCATTCCCAGTGTCCTGAAGTTTCATGATGATGTCTACTGGAGGGTCAGTCCATTTTTATCCGTTGTAAAAACCCATTAAGTATCTAGCAAAATATAGAAGGTCATCACCTTCATTCTGTGAAACGTTCCTGGGAGTACTTCATTGAGGATTTCTTCTGTTTCCCCTGTTCTCGTCTCTGGAGCTCCTGTTATCCAGATATTGGACCTCCCGGGCTGGTCCTTTAATTTTCTTGCCACTTCTCTCCTGTTTCCCATCTCACTGTCTTTTTGTTTTATTCTAAGCTTACTCAATTATATCTCATCAATCATATTTATCTTATGAATCAACTTATGAATCATATTTCCCTTATGAATCAATCAACTGTCTTATAAGTTTGATCTTACAAATTCTATTTCGTTTTTCACTTCACTCTTAGTATTCCTCATTTCCGAGAGCTCATTTTTGCTCTCTGAAGGCTTTATTTTTAAGTGTCTTGTTGCTTGTCTCACTGAAACACCCTGTCTCATGTCTCCAAGGACATCCTTGACACATCTCTTTACGAGATTTTCTTCTCTCTGATGGCCTGTTTCCCACAACTTCCATTTTTCTACTTGTTTCCTTTGGTCTTGGTCTTTCATGTTGGAGCCTCCTTTTTCAGATGTCTGCTTATCTACTCATAATCAAGAGTGGAGCTCTAGAAGGCACGTGGGGACCTCAGAGCAGAAGCAAGCTTGTCTCCTGGGAGCTTCACTATCGAGTGAGCTCATGAAGCTGTTCAGCTGGGGACCCTCCAGAGTCCGCGCCCTTAGTCTGTCTTCTTGGGCTGCTCTAAGTCCCTGAAGAGCAGTCTGACCTCCTGCCCAGAGGGTGTACCCTTGGCCACAGCATCTGGGGATGGCCCAGGAACAGGGCTTGGACGGGCAGGGGGCACTCAGGGACTCTGGGCTCTGCTCAGCTCTCTGCCCTAAACTGTGCCTTGCCTGTGGGTGCTGATACACTCCGTCCAGAACAGTGGCTCACAAGCCTGAGCCAGAGTGAGAACCAGCGCGGGGCTCGGGAGGGTGCACTACTGCAGGAGGTCTGAGTTGAGCCCGGCACGTTCCAGGCACTGCTGCTGCCAGTCGGGGACCCGCTCTGGGAGCTGCTGTTCCCAGAACACTGATTGCTGCTGTTCTTCTTTTTGGTGGGGAGAGACGGTCGCTCCCTGCAGAGAGCTGGGTGGAAAACCCAGAAACTGCCTGTCCCTCAGTTAAACCAGCCTGCAGGCCCCTCCCCCAGTGCTGCCTCTGGTTCCCAGGCCTGCGGGGCCCACCGACGCTGGCTTGGAGTCTGCTAAGTCACGTCGTCACTCATCTGTCCACTTTACAGATCCAAAATGTTTGCTGGGCGTTCCCCTTGTCTTTGCCACTTTAAGTCTCTAAAGACCCTGGCTGTGATTTGAAGGGCTCTCAGGGAAGGGGCACGTCCTTCCCCGAGCTCACACAGCCTTGGCTCCCTGGTGCCTGTGGTCCTGGCCCGCCCCTCCCATCCTCGTGAGTGGCCAGCTCCCACAGACGAAGCCACTCTCACTGCTGTCTTGGCCCCTGCCTGGCCTCCCTGGCTTCCAGGCCATGAGGGCCATGACCAGTAAAGGCGGGTCCTTCCCAGAGCAGACTCTGGACGAGAGGCAGAGTCCATGAGTGAACGGCGACTTGGCCCAGGAAGATTCATGTCTAATCTATGATGGCGGGGTTGCTTTCTGGTTGACTCCCATGGAGCTGGAGTTTGGTGCCTGGCAGCAGGCAAAGGAGCAGGGGTGAAGGCGAGGGCCCTGCCACAAGCCCGTCAGAGTGCAGGGTCACCTGAAAAGGGCCACACTGACAGCCTGAGCTGGGAGATGACACTGTGACTGGAAGGGGGCTGGCGGGAAACAGGTAGTCAGGCCTCCCGACCCACGGTGACGAACAGACAGGATTCAGACGGTGGTGGAAGACTCCGGAAGGCTCGGGAACTGCCACCACCTGGTTCGTGACCGTGCAGGAGCACCCCTGCCCTGCTTGCAGCTTCGAGTCCCACTGTGCCAGGGGAGTGGGTTCCAGTGGGGAGGAGAGGCCACAGCCCCAACCCCAGAGCCACCACAGATGCCACTGAGCAGGGGTCCTTTGCTTCTGGGCCTGGACTTGGCCTGAGAATCCCCAGCGCCGCCGCACTCGGGAAGCCAGCGCCATCCATCAGGTGGCTCTGAGAGGAGATCCATTTGCCACCCCAGGAGGCCCGTCTGCTCTAATGTGCTGGACTCTGGGATGCTCTATCTGCCAGGGGCCTCAAGTGGCTGGCGCTGGTGAGAGCAGAGAGGGAGGGGGCTGGGGGCTCAGATGTGTCGGGGCCTTCGGGATGGGGAGCGAGGAGCAAGTCCGCCAAGGCTGGAGGCCAGGTTCCAGCACTGAGGACTTGCAGGGCCCAACTAGGAATGGTCCCTGCCCCACCCTGAAAGCGGGGCGGGGGCGGGGCTGGAGGGAACTCTGCCTGGGGCACTGCTGAGTTCCATTTCTCCTGAGCCTCCATGCCTGAGCTACACAAGGGCGGGCGGGACTGTAACAGTCCCAGCCAAGTGCTGGGCATAGGTTAAAAAAACCCTGAATCCTGAACATGTTAAGGTGGGAGAGGCTGGGTTTGAGAGGTAGGAAATGTGTGGTTATGGGTATGTATGCAGAAGGGTGCACACTCGTGCACATACACACGTACATAAGCACTGGTGGCATAGTGGCTAAAGCACTTGACTGCTAACCAGAAGGCTGGTGGTTCAAACCCACCAGCCACTCCTCGGAAGGAAGGTTGGGCAATCCTACTTCTGTAGTGATACTGCCTCGGAAACCCAAGGAGGGGTCGCTATGAGTCAGGGCCGACTCGACGTCACATAACAACAACAACAACAAAGCACACACGCACACTTCACACAATGCACATTACACACATGTCCACAATGTGTGCACACATGCACACTCATGCACATTCACATGCACCCATGCATGTGTGCACTTCTACACACACATGCATGTGCATACACTCATTAAATGCACACATGTACACACACACATGCTCATGCACACACTCACGTGCGTGCAGCCATGCACACACGTAAGCACTGACGCACACACCCCATACTTTCTGTTTCTAGGCCTTATGTGGATTCAGGGAAGAGCAATGGGACAGGCACACTCCCGCTGATGAAACGCCAAGACAAGCAGCCTTCTGGGCCACGTGGGCCATGGCTGAGCCCTGTTGCAATGCGGCTCCCCATGGTTACAAGGACGCAGAGCGGCTCCGGGTCTGCTGGGGGCTGAGGGGCTGGAAACCACCACTGTCACAAGGGCCTGGGAGCCCGGGAACATGCCGACAACAGTGTACAAAATGGACAACACACAGGTACCAGGCATCTGCTGTGTGCCAGGCTCTGGTGTCACACATCCGTTTACAGATGAGGCCCTGTGCTGGGGCCAGAGGAGCCGGGTCAAAATGTAGGCAGGAACAGAGCTGGGTGCTCATGCGGACTGGGGGCATCCCTGGGCCATGGACCCACCAACAATCCCAACGTGCCTGTGTTAAGAGGTCTTCACACCCCCATCTCATCTGTCCTCGGGCCTTGAGACAGATGCGGTCTGTGTAAGACCCAACGGTGCACACAAGGGGCAGGGCCTTAGGATTAAGTCCAGATTCCACTACTGGGCTGAGGCAGGGAGCGGTACCCCGACGTGGCTGGGGAGGCAGGACAAGAGGTCTGCTGTCCACCCCAACCTGGACCCCCAGGGGCAAGGTCCCTGCCCTCATGGGATGTGGTGACAAGGATGTGGAAGGAAATGAGAAATGGCTTTGAGAACGAGAAAGCAACATGGATGCAAGATGTCGAGGGACGGGTGGCTGACAGCTGTGAGTCCACCACACAGCCCTACACATGCTCCAGGGCGGAGTCAGAGGTCACCACCAAACAACGGGGCCAGGGGCGCCTGCCCACGTCCCCAGGGCGAAGTCAGAGGTCACCACCAAACATGGGGCCGGGGGTGCCTTGATCCCGAACCCCCAGCTGTGAGGAAGGGCTGACGTGCCCTCCATCAGAGGACCAGGATCCTGACTGTGCACCGTGGCCTGACACCCAGGGGGTCACCCGTGCCAAGGACTGAGCCCTCCCTCTGCCACTTCAGTGTGGACGTGTCCCAGGCAGCACTGTGGCACTGTCCATGCTTTGGAGCGTGAACCGACCCTGGCTGTCACGTGGGCTTTGCATCAGGTGACAATTCCACGCTCCCACAGTGGCATCTGGACCTAAAGACCCGGAGCTTGGAGGGGGGTGGGCTTTGGCAGCCCATGAGTAGGGGCCAGCAGACCCGGAGCACACACGAGTGCGGGCTTTGCAGTGAGTGAGTTAGGAGGGGGTGCCTTCCGAGACGCAGGGATGCCCTGGGTTCTGGGAAACATGCTCGGATCAGTGAGCGACGGTACCTGTGTGCAAGGCACACGGGGCTCACTCAGGATTAAGGGGGCCATGGAAACTGATAAATGGTATTAATTTGTTTCAGGGTCTGGGACGATCTCAGCCACTCACTTCTCACTGTGGCCAAGTTCTTTCCTGCTGACAAGACTTGTCTGCACACCCCCAGGGAAATGTCACCTGTCCCCTGACCGTGGGGACCAACAGACACCATCACAGGCCCCCCACAGGCTTGACGGCCCTAGAGGGGAGCACAAGTCCCACCCGTCTCATGGGTGTCACTGAGCATGGACAGACGGGCAGCAGTCATCAGGGGGTGGCCCTGCCTGCTGGACCAGGACCCTGGGGCACCTACCTGCCACCTCCTTGGCTGATGGCAGGCCTGCAGCAGCCTCAAGGTTGGTGGGAACGGCGCCGCCCTGTTCCAGAGTGCGCACCAGCTCACGCAACCGCTCACACTCCTCCTGCAGCTGTGCTTGGTCCTCATGGAGCCTCTGCCGGGCCACGCTGGCTGGGTTCAGGCGCAGGTGCAGCACCTTGGTGCGGCTCCGGTCATAGTCGCCCTGCAGAGAGGCAGGCACAGGGTCACTGAGGTTGGAGAGAGCATGCAGGTGCTCGCACACCGGGGTCTGTCGCCCTGCAGAGAGGCAGGCACAGGGTCACCGAGGCTGGGGACTGACCAGCACGGGTCTGTCTCTCTAGACAGGCACAGGGTCACCGAGGCTGGGAGCTGAACCCACATGAGAGAGAACGCTCAGGCACTCGCACACCGGGGTCTATCGCCCTGTAGAGAGACAGGCACAGGGTCACCGAGGTTGGGGACTGAACCCACACGGGAGAGAACACACAGGTGCTCACACACCTGGGGGCTGCCTGCCCCTGTGAGTGGAGGGTGTGCTGGCAGTTAGGGCAGGCCCAGCACCAGGGGCTGGTGGCGGCTGTGGGCCTCAGGGCCAGCTCCTGACAGGTATGACAGGTGTAGCTTATCAGCTGAGCACTTCAGCTGCCACTCACCTGGAAGGGCTGCTGTGAGGACTAAATGGAGGGAGGCAGAGAGACGCCACTAAAGAAGCCAGACTCGCTGGACCCATCGACACGAGAAGTCCCCAGGGCTACTGCCCTGAGACACTGTCTAAACCCAACTGAAGCTGTCCCCTGCACAGCAGTTAGCTCAAAAAGGAAAGGGCCTCCTCCAGCTGATGTCCGTGGGGTCTTAGAAGGTAAAGGACGTGCCTTGATGCCAAGCTCCCTTCAAACACTGCCCATGAGACCCCACGGACAGCAGCTGCCCTGAAACTCAGACAAGAAGGCTGGGCAGGGATGACGCTAATGGGACAGGGACAGCTGGGCAGAATGGGGACAGTGGCACAGACAAGGAGGCAGCCAATGGCACTGAGCACCACGTAGAGAAATCGGTGAGTGGGAACCTGTACACTTCCACCACCAACACGGCAACATACTGAAATAAGAAAGGGCCCCACTGAGTCCTGCCCACAACACTGATGAGCTCAGTGCCCACGAGGCCCTGGGATGCCACACTGACCCTCGGTCTGAGCAGATTCAGAGGGGCCCGGGGACTTCACAGGTAAAAATAACCTCATTGTCAGCATGGCTCTAGGTTTACAGTGTGGAGGCAGTGCGTGGAGTTCTTGTGTACCCCACACTCAGGGTCCCCATTAGGAGCATGGTACACGGGTGTGGCACGTATGTTACAATCAGTGAGCCAATGCTGATGTTCAGGTTCCCTCTGTTTTTACCTGAGGCCCCTTTTCTGGCCCAGGACCCATCCAGGACCCCACATCACATGTTGTCACCATGGGTCCTCAGCCTCCTCTGGGCTGGGAGTTCCTGTTAGTGTGGGAGTACACAGAGAAGAGGAGGCGACTAGAATGGTCCTTGTGGTGATGGGTTAAAGTGGGAGACATCAGTAAGAACTCAGTACAGACACAGACTTACACATAGAAATGTTCAGGGATGTGCACGTAGGGACGTGCCAGCCACATCACTGAGTGGTACATGATCAAACTGTTGAATTGGCCCAGGTTTTGCTGTGCATATTTTCAACAAAAATAAATGCACACATGTGCTTCTTGCCTCTCTGAGTAACAATGCCCCAATAATAATCAGCACAGTCTAACACTCAGATCTTGGTTTCCAAACACCATTCCCCAATTCCCCAAGAAAAGGAGTTAGGCTCCCTGGAGCAGCTCTGGTGGTGCGACGGTTAAGCACCTCACGACTCTGTGGGAGAAAGACTTGGTGACCTGTCCCCATAAAGATGGCAGCCTAGGGAACCCGCTGGGGTGGTTCCACGTCACCACACAGGCTTGCTGGGGATTGGTTCAACTCCACAGCACCTCACAGGAACAAGAAGAGTGGACACATGACTTGTCCTAGCCATCCACTGACTTCCCTTCTGCCTGCCCACAGGGAGTTGTCTTAACAGGGGGGTCTCTGACCCTCAGTGGGCCCATCACAGCTCCTCCCTGAGGTGGTACATCCAGATGCTGGGAAGGGAAGCCTTCGCTTCCCACTGAGGCTGCTGGTGGCCATGTTCCCTTCTCCTCCCCTCCCAGCCTGGATGAAGCAGGACACAGGAAGAGCTCATGAACATCAGTAAGAAAGAGCCGTACAATCCAACTCCAACACAGGCAAAATCCTTGACTTCACAGAAGAACGCGTCCAAGGAGCCAATGAATGTAAGGAAGGTGCTTGAATGTGTCAATCACCAGAGCAATGAAAACCCAAACCGCCATGGGATTCCCAGGACCCCACGTGGATGGTTCACACCAACCGAGGGAAAAGATCAAGGGTGGCTGAGGGCTCGCACCAACGAGGACTCACACTGTGAGAACCAAATGGTGTGAGCACTTTGAAGAGGACATCTGGCAACATCGACTGAAGGTAAACACGTGACCTCCTGTGACCCTGGAACTCAGGAACACGCATGTCCCTTCACCAAGAAACCTGGCCCATGATGCTCACAGCATCGCTCCTCATCCCAGCCCCCTGCTGGAAACGACGCGGTGACAGCGTCCCGTGGAAAACACAGGGTGGAGTCACACAGGGAAGATCATCCCTCCATGGGCCTGGCACAGACACAAGGAGGACAGAGAGCCTGCCTTTGGGGGATGGGAGGGGCTGGGGGGCCGGCGGCCCGCTGTGTGGGTGTTCACACTCCGGATCTGGACGCCGGTGATGCGTGTGCTCAGTCGGTGGAAACGCACGACTCATCCGTGTGCTTCCTGGATGTGCTGCGGCTGCTGGGTGTCATCAAGTCAGCGCTGACTCATGGCGACCCCTTGATGAGAGTAGGACTGCCCCATGGGGTTGGCTTGCTGCCATCTTTGTAGACACAGATTGCCACTCGTTTGTCCTAGAGAGCCACTGGGTGGGTTCAAACTGCCAACCTTCCATTAGGAACAAGCTTACCGCTGCCCCATCAGGGCTCCTGTATGTGGAGTGTTGTTATTCAATAACAGAGCTTTAACAATGCATGTTGGACACATCCTTGAGTCCTTCTGTGCTCAGGGAAAGCTTTGCCCTCTCTGTCCCAGTTACATCACTCAGCGAGCCCTGCCCACTGCCCCTTTGGAAAGCTCAAATGCACTGGGTTTTGATTACATGTCACCAGGAGTCACAGCAGCAGACGAGGGACTATCATTTCCTCACGTCCCACCCTCTCCACAGAGCAGCTATGAAGGCTGTGCGTGAACTCAGGTACTGTCCAGACACATGGGAGGGAACAGGCCTGTATAATGCGTGACTCCTTGGGGACAAGGACAAGCACTTGAAGGAGCTGGGCACAGTTTCTCTGGGAGCAGGGAGTCCTGGTACAGAAGCAGCCTCCTGGGGGGAGTGGAGGATTCCCCCAGGGCCTCCATTCACCTCAAACTCACGCCAAGCCTTGAGGAAAGTAATCAGAGGAATGCTTTCCAAGGCAAGAATGCAGGCCCCATCCCACAATTGCACAAATATACACAGGTGGACACACACATACATGCATACACATGCACACATGCGCACTTATGCACACACATGCACTAATGAATACACATATATGCATGCACTCATGCATGCACATGCATGTAATCACATGTACACACATTGCACACATACACACACACACATTCTTGCATAGATGTACACAATGCACAGACACATACATGTGCGTACATGATCACATGCATGTGCACAGATGCACACGACCATGCACAGAATGCACACATGTGCACACACCTATACACATGCACACAATGCATACCTACACATACTTGCACACATGCAGATACACGAGCATGCATGAACATATGCAAACACGCATGCACAACTCCCCCTCACATGCATGCACACCCATATACATATGCACACATACACAAATGTACACACATGCATGTATATATATACACACACATACACGTAATGCACACACACTTCACAGGGTCTTTCCCTCGCTGTGGGTGAGGCCTCACCAGCCGCCTGAGTCCCAGGTCTGGGACCCTGAGGCCTGACGCCCCTGAGGATCTGCAGGCCCGCCATCTTGACTGCTTCCCTGTATCCTGTCAGCATTTTCCGGGGCTCAGTTATGACTCACCCCTCCTCACAGGTGGAGGCTGAGGTGTGTGTCCCTGCCCACTACCCAGTCATGTGGGGACAGAAGACACTGCCCATGGAGGCTCTTTCCTGCAGAGCCCCCTTCTGCCAACCCTGTCCCAGAAGGTGGACTGAGCAAGTGCTGGGCTCCCATCCACCCTCCCTCCTGCCCCAGAGTCCTGGCGCCACCAGTCACAGGGAGACGAAGGGGGCCGGAGTAGGAGACAGGACCAGCAAACACTTCTGTCCTCCAAACCCACTGCCATCGAGTCGATTCCGGCTCATAGCGACCCCCACTGGCTTTCCGAGGTGACAAATCTTTACGGAAGTAGACTGTCCCATGTTCCTTCCACGGAGTGGCTGGTGGGTTTGAACCACCGACCTGGTTAGCAGCTAAATGCCTTACCCACTATGCCAGCAGAGCCCCTTAAACACCTCTGTGAAAGGCCAGAGAGTAAGTACCTCAGGCTCTGCAGGCCCCATGGCCTCTGTGGCACAACCCCTCAGGCCTGCCGCTGTGGCATGGGAGTAGCCCTGGACAGGCGGGCGAAGGAGGCGGCACTACCCACAGAACGGCACTCCGCATCTCACGCCCTTCCCACGTGCCACGAGACATTCTGCTTCTGCTGGTTTATGCCCAACCATTCAAAGATACAAAAGCAATGGCGTCCACCATGATGAATGTAACACACCACTGACTGCACATGTGAAAAGAGTGAACTGGTGAACACCGGCTGTGTGTCCTTCTAACACACGCACGTAAATGCAGAACAATCCCCTGGCTTCATCCTCCGACTCCCCCAATAGGTCCAACATGTAGGGGTGCGTGGGAGAATGGAATGGACAGGGATGGGCAGCCCACCCCATCCTCCTGCAGCTATGCGAGCCAGCCTGGCATCCTCATTCCTCCCAGTCCTCGTGTCTTCACATCTGTGACAGGAGCGGGGGTCTGGTCCCGGGCCTGCCCAGG